CTCTGCAGAAGCTCTTTACTTTGATATAGTCTTGCTTGTTTATTTTTGCTTTGTTGCCTTTGCTTTTGGTGTCAAATCCAAAAAGTCTTTGCCAAGACCAATGTCAAGGAGCTTACTCCTCATGTTTTCTTCTAGGAATTTTATGATTTCAGGTCTTGTGTTCCAGTTTTTAACCCATTTTGAGTTGATTTTTGTGCATGGTATAAGGTAGGGGTCCAGTTTCATTCTTTTGCATGTGGCTGTCTAGTTTTCCCCACACCATTTATTGAAGAGACTGTCCTTTCCCCATTGTATATTTTTGGCTCCTTTGTAGTAAATTAATTGACCATATATGTATGATTTTGTTTCTAGGCCCTTATTCTGTTCCGTTGGTCTATGTGTCTGTTTTTATGCCTGGCACTTTTTTTATATCTTTACATGTTAATTCATTCAATTATCATGACACTTGTATAAGATAGGTACCATATTTTTTTTCTCCTTTACATATGAAGAGACTGGGACACAGATTGGCGAAGTGAGTTACTCAAGGTCTACTTCTAAGAAGAGGTGATACAGAACTTGAATTCAGGCAACCTGGTTTCACAGTCCACATTCTTTTCCACTAAGCTATACTATTAATTTTGTAATAAAAGAAAAAAACTAAAACTATTAGTCATTTACCCTGGAGATAAACAGTGCTAAAATGGAGCGGAGCACATAATGTAAGTGGGATAAGGAACATAAATATTGCTATATTAAGTTTCTTCCATATTAGGTAGTTATTTACCAGTGTAGTATAGTATTTTCTGGGTTTTTTCCTGCTTACTATTAATTTGAATATTTTTTGTGTGTTTCAATGTTTCATGTAATTTTTTGTGACTTTTTTGCATTTTTTACCCTATTGGAGATTGTTTCCCCATGTTTATTAGGAATTTTGGCCATCAGCCCCTCAAACCATTTATAACTATTAATAATATTTTTAGCTGCTTTGGAAAATATTTACTGACCTTTAAATAGATACTTAAATGCAAGCTGGCTCAAGGGATGGTTTAAAATCTCCTGGATTTTAAAACAGGCAACAACCACCAAAAAAACTCTTTTAATCCTTCTTCTAAAGGGAAGAATATTTTTTAGATCTAATTATAAGACTTCCAAAATTTTAATTTTGTACCATGAACATTTATTGGGTACCTACTGATAATAGTGACTACATTTATTGAGAAGCTGCCTAACTGTGCAGTTCTGTGTTAGAGACTAAAAAAACCCAAAAGCCTTTAACCGTTACCAGTTTGGTGAGGGAGAAGAAAGTCAGATACATACAGCTTAATATAATTTAGTAAATCTTGTTATGGAATTTTGACTGTGATATTTTGGAAGAGCACAAAGTAGTAGTTATTTAGTACCACCTGGAGAAATCAGAGAAAACATTTAGAGCCAGTTAATTCTGACCTGGGACTCTTAAAGGAGATAGGGAAGGGAATTGCTTGGAGTCATGAAAGAACCTGACTGGTTTAGAGGCCGTGACTAGGTATGTGTGTCTAGGGTGTTTGTAAGGGGACCTGGGAGACGGGGCAGGGGCAGCAAAGTATTAGAAAATGAGGTTGCCACTGGGTGAGGAACTTTGGCAAACTTTAGGAGTTTGAGTTTTATTTGATATGCAGTAAGGACCCCACAGACCTATGTAAGCAGGAGAATGGCAAATATATTTGATTTTAAGATGGTGATTCTGACAGGGTAGAGGCTGGCTTGGGTGAAGTTAGTCCAGCAGGAGGTCCTTGCGGCAGTCCAGCCAAAATGTATGATCTGTGACAGTGGGCATGGTGAAGCGAGATCTAATTCAGCTAATACTTCTGAAGTGGACTGAAGGGTTTCAGAAACTGATTAGATGTATGGGTTAAGGAAAAGAGGTTGTTGTTGTATTCCCTGGATTTGTTCCTTTTTAGCTTTGTTGTACATTGATTTCTGTTGACAGTAGAATTGGGGCAGTTGAAGGCCACTCTTCTGAACTTTGTGCGAAAGTACTTTGTACTTATTAACATTGCAGAGATGTTAAGATGTGAGATATGTGCATCTCATGTCATATAAGGGCAAACGAGCTTTGATATTTTCTGTTTTGTTCTGTTCTATTTTATTTTAAAAGATTGGTCTCAGTCCACTGAATGGGAGATAACCTGCATTTTTAAAAACACTGCAGTGTTTATTCATGATTTGTAGTATATATTCAGCTTTTTATGTAAAAGTCTAAGTCTGCTTTGTCAGTGGTGTTATTTTTATTTTCTTCTGGCTTAGAGGTGTCATTTAAAAAATTCAGTAAGATTACTTGTTCTTCTAAGTGCAGTTACAGATATATTAACATACTGTGGGAGACTTGATGTATGCATTTTTGCTTTCAGTTGAAAAAAAAGCTTCAGAAAGAAAGTAAAATATGATAGGTTACTTCTTCATTTGCTGTTGATCTTTCTATATTTCCAGTATGAGAAAGAAATTTTTAATGTTATCCCTGGGGATTCACTATTCTATTTAAAAGAACTGAAATTGGTATTAAAAAATGAAACAGTCTGTCTTCCAAAGAGAAATTCCAGTATGTGGTGTCTTGGGATCTTTGCTACTTTTTGTTCTTGAGAGCAATGATTTTATACATTCAGTTGCTTTAACGTGAAAGGACTTAGGTAAGACTTTATTGTTATTGATCACTGAGCCTTATTTTAAGTTTTTTTTTTTTTTTAAAGTGCGTAGCACTTCTCTGGAATTGAGTGGCTTCCGTTTCAGCAGCATGGTCTAACTATTGTGTGAGAGAATTTTCCTTAGTATATCACCTAGTGAGTATATTTCACATCTGGTTCTTACTGCTGTGTGATTCTGGATTGACTTGTTAGAGGCAAGACATGTCATTCTTCTCAGACTGAATTTATTCAATCTAAAAGATCAGAATGTCTTTTATTCATGACATTTGTTAATTATCTTCAGCATTCTAAGCACATAAAATACTTTGGATATTTTAAAAAAGGAAGTATTTATATTTAAAGGTTAAGACAAATGGGAGTTCAGGATGGAGGAGATCAACTTGGATAGATAAGTCTATCATTTTATTATGTTTCTGTCATTTTGGGAAACCTGAATGAATTGCTTTGCTTTCTTTAAAAGGAAAGTTTAGCAAAAATAAGATCACTGTGGTACCTTCATAAGCAAATTAAAATATCTTACTGATTTAAAAGAATAACATACTATTCTGAGTAGAACATGTTTCTCCATTGATTGATCCAGTGATTTGTTATGTGATTGGACTTGATATCTGCTTCCTTCCTTTAGAGCTCTTTTGATGAGGATACTTTCGTAGAAAAAGGACCCTACTGGTCTTTTGTCAACTTATATGAGTTGTATGTTTCCCCAGTAGAATGTCCCACAGCTTTAAAGAGCTTTGTAATTTTTTTCATCTAATGGACAAAGTTAATTGTGGTATTATTGAAATGGACTTGTAGCTGTCAACCAAAACAAAGAGCCAGTCTGTCTAAGTTTTTTATTTTGAATTTGAAGAATTTTTTTTCCTTCAAGTTTATAGATATAATTCATTTTGTGTACATTAACAGCCAGTTTTGTACTTTTGAACGTTTAAAAAGTTATGGCAGTTTGATTTATATGTTAGATTGTATCCATTTTGTTCCAAATTAGGCCAAATAAGTTTATGTACTCATTCCAGGAAAAAATATCTCTGAAGACTTTCATTTTTAGTTATTTAGCACCAGTATAGGATAATTAAGAGGTGCTTAAATGATAAGTACATTATGGGGTAGTGGTAGGAGCTAAGCATTAGCCCAATATGTCATTTGCCCTTTACTTAAAGGTAGCTGCAATTACAAACATAAAACACAAATGGGGGCATTGAAATTATATGAGGATAAATCTGTTTTAAGGTAGCTATACAGACAGACACAGTGGCATTCAAATTAGGTGGAAATAATCTGCTTTAAGGTAGCTATTCAGATAATCTCTAACGCGCTTACTAATTTTTTAAGGATGTCATTGAAATGAAGGCCCAAAATGCTTGTAGAGAACTTCTGCAGGCTCCAATTTGAGAATGACTGTGTTAGCCATAAAAAAGATATGTCCTTCTATTGGTTTTATATAAAATTCAGTAGATTTAAAATTGCTCTTTCAAATTTCTGTAAAGATTTCTAAATGCTTATTCTTTTTTTCTGCACCTAACTTTCATGAACTAGTAATAAATAGTTCACAGACCAACACTGGTCCACTTTGAGTGGCATTGTAATAGATAATAAGAGAATGAAGTGAGCAAAAAAGGTAAAATGCTGGATAAATCAGAAAAAGACAAAAATTAAGTCAAAATGGACAAGATAAATGAAAATAAAGATTGAGAGACTGTTGAAAAGTAATAAACTAGCTAAAAAATAAGGATTTAATATAACTCAAAGGGAAAATTGAGCAAAGAGCCAGGAAGATGCTGTGGTGTTAGACTTTTATCAAAAGATAACTGAAGAAATAAAATCAATTAAAATAATGCAAAATAATTTTGAATTTTAAGTGATTAAGGTATAGTAGAAAAAAATAGAATTTTTTCACCCTCCATAAGCACATTCTTCTTATATTACCATGCAATATGATACAATTAGACTTTCCTGAGCCCCACTTCCAAGCTAATGCCTGTGTATGGGATCTCAGATGCCTACCCATCAAATATTCCAGAACAGGGTGCTGACATTTCCAGATAGGTAGATGATAGATTTGACATTTTAAATAAGACGGCAGTACATGTTTAAAGTTCAGTACTCAAAGTAGAAAACAGAATCTTTCAGCCAGAGGAAGCTGCTAAATCAGCATCGAATTGATATGTGAGCAATAGATGTTTATTTGTTGAATCTTAGATATCATTGATCTGTTATAATTTTTTTTGTGTAGAAAACTTTTTATGCTTTATATGTATTTTTCACAAGGGCGCAAAAGGATATCTTCTGCCTACTCATAGACATTATAATGTGTTAACTTTTGCATATTTTCCTTTGTAGGCCCAGATTATTCTTCATCAGCATGGTTACCTGGTAATGAACCCTTGTGGCAGGCCACAAGTGTTCCATCTAACCATCGAAATAACCATATCAGGAGACATAGTATAGCTTCTGACAGTGGCGACACCGGTATTGGAACTTCCTGTTCTGACAGCGTGGAAGGTGAGCTAAGATTCTTAATGTTTAGACATGACTCTTTGGAGAGTGGTTGTGATTGGAACATTCAAGGGATGTGTTTTATTGTTCCAAACTAAGAAACTATAAAGTAATGTTTAAATATTTGATAATGTTCTGTGTTGTATATCAAAGGAAATTGTCCTAGGGTCATATTAGTTTTTCCTTCATTCACTTTAACTAAACTTTTTATTTTGAGATAGTTGTAGATCATCATGCAATTTTAAGAAATAGTCCAGAGATTTTACATACCCTTTATTCAGTCTTTCCCCACTCCACCACATGATAGTATCTTGGAACACTATAGTTGGGTATCATGACGAGGGTATCGGCATTGATAGAGTCAAAATACAGAACATTTCTGTCATTATAATATACCTCATGTTGCCTACAGCGTCTTTCCTCCAAACTCTTGGAAACCACTAATCTATTCTCCGTTTCTATAATTTTGTCATTTCAGGGAAGCTATATATAAATGGATTCATATGATATGTAACCCTTTGGAACTGTTTTCTTTCCTCTGGAGAGTCATCCAGGTTGTTGTATGTATCAATAGTTCATTCCTTTTTATTGCTGAGTAGTATTCAGCAATTTAGTGTTAGACCACATTTGCTTAACCATTCACCCATTGAAAGACATCTGGGTTGTTTCTGGTTTTTGACTATGAGGAGTAAAGCTGTTATAAACATTTGTGTACAGATTTTGGTGTGAACATAATGTCTTCATTTCTCCGCAGTAAATGCTCAGGAGCACAACTGCTGGTTGTAGGGTAGTTTCTTATTTAGTTTTTAAAGATACTGTAACACTGTTTTCCAGAGTGGCTATTCCATTTCCATCAGCATTGGAAATGGATTGGTATGAGGGATCCGCTTTTCTCTTCATCTCTGCCAGCATTTTGGTGGTTCTAAAATTTTAGCCTTTCTGATAGGAATGTAGTGTTAGCTCATTGTGGTTTTATTTTTCATCTCCTTACCTAATAATGTTAAACATTTTTTCACGTTATTTGCCATCTGTCTATTCTCTTCAGTGAAATGTCTCTTCATGTTTTTTGCCCATGTTTTAATTGAATTATTTCCTTTCTTGCTGTTGAGTTTTGAGAGTTCTTTATATATTTTAGATACTATTCCTTTGTTGGCTATGTGGTTTGCAAATATTTTCTTCCACTCTGTAGCTTGTCTTTTCATCCTCTAACAGTGTCTTTTGCAGAGGAAGTTTTAACATTTGATAAGGTCCAGTGTATCAGTTTTTCTCTACATGGATTCTGCTTTTGAGGTCAAGTCTAAGAACTCTTTGCCTGGTCCCAGATCTTCAAGATTTTCCCTCATTTTTTTTCTAGAATTTTTATCATTTTATGTTTACATTGAAGTCCATGATCTATTTTGAGTTAATTTTTTATAAAGTATCTGTGTTTGGGTGTTCTCAAGATCATTGTTAGGCTCAATGATTTGCTAGAAGGAATCATGGAACTCAGAAAAGCTATTATTCTAATGGTTATGGTTTGTTACAGCCAAAGGTTACAGATTTAAATCAGCAATAGAAAAAGCAGCAAAGGACAGGGTCCGGGAGACACCAGGCCCGAACTTCCAGTTGTCCTCTCCCAGTGGAGTTGTGTGAGCAGTGCTTAACTCCCAGCAATGATGTGTGACAGCACATTTGAAGTATTGCTAGGCAGACTAGGTACCCATGCCTTGGTGTCCAGGATTTTTATTGTGGGTTGGTTACGTTGGCATGGTTGACTGCCTCCGTGGATGACCTTAGTCTCCAGCCTTTGATAGGTGAAGGTGATAACACGTGGTTCAAGGCCCACCGTAAGTCACGTTATTGACATAGACTACCTGGAGTAACCCAGGGTCCCCAGGTAAACAAACTCTCATTAGGCAGGATTTTCCAGGATTTAGAGGTTACTTCCTACATGCTCTAGGGGAAAACCTTTCTTTAAATATGCAGGAGGTGAAATACCCAGACATGCTGAGTTAATCCTTTCTGCACAGTGTGAGACATAGATTGAGGTTAATTTTTTTTTTTGGCTTAATAAATCTTGAAATCAGGTAAGGTAATTATTCTCACTTCATCCTTTTTTTTCAAAATTGTTTCGGCTATTCTAGTTCCTTTGCTTTTCTATATGTTTTAGAATAATTTTGTCTATATCTACAAAAAATCTTGCTGGGAATTTAATAGCAATTGTGTTGTCTGTGTATTGGTTTGGGGAGAATTGACGTCTTTTTTCTGTTGAGTCTTCCAATTCTTTAACGTGGTATGTTTCTCCATCTCCATTTATTTAGGTTTTAATTTCATTCTCCACTGTTGTGTGGTTTTCAGCATACATGCCCTGTACATGTTTTGTTAGATTTATAACTATTTCTTTTTTTTTGGAGTGACTGTAAATGGTATTATATTTCCAGGTTTGTTGTCAGTGTGTTAACTGTTATTATGTAGAAATATAATTGATTTTTGTATATTTATCTTGTATCTTGTGACATTGCTAAACTCACTTTTTAGTTCTAGGAGGTTTTTTTGGGTACATTTCATGGGATTTTTTGTGGAGACAATCATGTCATCTGTAAATAGGGATGGTTTTCCTTTCTAATCTGTATGACTTTTGTTTCCTTTGCTTTATTTATTGCAGTGGCTAGAACATCCAACACACTGTTGATTATGAGTAGTAAGCGTGGACATCTTTGCCTTTTTCCTGATCTTATAAATAAAGCATTCATTCAGTCTTCACTGTTAAATAGCTGTATAACAGCTATTAGCTGTAGGTTTTTTCTAGGTTCCTTTTATCAGTTTGAGGAAGTTCCCCTCTATTCCTGGTTTGCTGAGAGTTTTTTTAATAATGAATAAGTGTTGGATTTTGCAAATGCTTTTTCTTCATCAGTTGATGTATGATATTCTTCTTTAGTTTGTTGATATGGTGTTAAAGTCCATTGCTTGATTCTTAAAATACTGAACTAACTTTCCATCCATAGAATAAAATTTACTTGGTTATGGTGTATAATTCTTTTTATATATTGCTGAATTCTATTTACTATTTTATTAAGGAAACTTTTTTGTGTATTCATAAGGGATATTGGTCTATAGTTTTTTTTTTTTGTTTCAATATCAGGATAATACTCTTGTTTCGATATCAGGATGATACTCTTTTTATAAAATGAGTTGGGAAGTGTCCCCTCCTATTTGCTGGAAGAGATTACGTAGAATGGTGTTAATTCTTCTTTAAATGTTTGGTAAAATTCTTCAGTGAAACCATGTGGGCCTAGAGATTTGTTTTTTCATTGTTTTAAAATCATGAATTCAATTTTCTTAATAGTTATAGGGCTAGTCTAATGATCTCTTTCAAACTCATTGAGTTGTGATAGTTTGTTTCTTTGGGGAAGCGGTCCATGTTGTCTAGTTTATGTGTATAGAATTGTTCATAGAGTTCTCTTATTATCCCTTTGATATCTGCAATCTCTATAGTGATATCCCCTGTTCCATTTCTGGTGTCGGTAATTGGTGGTGTCTTCCTTTTTTATTTTTTATTTTTGGTACTAGTTTGTCAATTTTATTGGTCTTTTCAAAGAATCAGCTCTGTGTTTCATTAATTTTTTCTTTTATTTTCTGTTTTCAATTTTAGTGATTTGTTCTTTATTATTTCCTTCTTTTTTTTTTAAAAAAAGATTTTATTTTTCCTTTTTCTCCCCAAAGCCCCCAAGTACATAGTTGTGTATTGTCAGTTGTGGGTCCTTCTAGTTGTGGCACGTGGGACACCGCCTCAGCATGGCTTGATGAGCAGTGCCTTGTCTGCATCCAGGATTCGAACTGGCGAAACCCTGGGCTGCCAAAGCGGAGCATGTGAACTTACCCATTCTGCCATTATTATTTCCTTCTTTCTGCTTTGGGTTTATTTTGCTCTTTTTGTAAGTTCTTAAGGTGGGAGATTAGGTTATTGATTTGCAACTTTTCCTCTTTTAAGACATATGCATTTAGTGCTATAAATTTCCCTCAGCACCACTTTAGCTGTGTCTCACAGATTTTGGTATTTTGTGTTTCCATTTTCATTCAGTTCAGTGTGTTTTCTTAATTTACCTTGAGACTTCCTCTTTGACTCCAGGGTTATTTAGAGTGTGTTCTTAGTTTCAAAGCGTTTGGATATTTTCTTGCTTTCTGTTTTTAATTTCTAGTTTGATGCCATTGTGGTCAGAAACATGCTCTCTGATTTCAGTTCTTTTAAATTTTTTGATTTGTTTTGGGTCCTGACATATGGTCTGTTTGGTTCTCTGGATACTTAAAAAGGTCATGTATGTTGCTATTGTTGAGTCAGGTGTTCTGTAAATGTTAATTCGATCCTGTTGGTTGATGATGTTGTTGAGTTTTTCTGTATCTTTGATGATTTTCTTCTAGTTACTCAATCAGTTGTTGAGAAAGGAGTTCCAAAAAGTCTCAACTATAATTGTGTATTTCTATATTTCTTTTTTTCTATAAATTTTTCCTTCATATATTGCAACTCTCTTGTTTGGTGCATACACATTTAGGATTGCTATGTATTCTTGGTGGATTGGCCCTTTTATCATTATATAGTGTCCCTCTCTATTGCTCGTAATTTTCTTTGTTCTGAAGTCTACTTTATCTGACATTAACACAGCCATCCTGTTTTCCTTTGATTAATGTTTAAATGGTATATGTTTTCTATTCTTTTACTTTCAACCTATCAGTATCATTATATTTGAAGTAAGTTACTTGTAATTGCATATAATTGGGTCATGGTTTTTAATCCACTCTGCCAGTTTCTTTTAATTGGTATATATAGGTCATTTACGTTTAATGTAATTCTTGTTGTATCAATACTTAATTTTTCTGTTCTCTTTGTTTCTGTTTTCATTTTCCTGCCTTCCTGTGGGATAAACATTTTTAAAATTCCATTTGGATTATCTATAGTATTTTTAAGTATATCTGTTTGTTTAGCTCTTCCAGTGGTTGCTCTAGGTATTACATTACATATGTCATGTATATATGTAATATACATGCCATATATAACATTTTAACAGTTTGAGTGGAGTATACAAACCTTACCTCCCTTATTTGTAATAAAATTGTTTCAGATATTTTCTCTACATATATTTATAACCACATCAGACAGTGTTATAATTTTTACTTTAACTGTCAAACATAATTTCGAAAACTCAAGTGGAGACAGAAAACCTGTTGTGTGTTACTCATATTTTTGCTTCCTGCATTCGTTGTTTTCTTTCTTCCTTCATTGTGTTACAAGGTTCCTTATATTGTTGTTTCCTTTTGGTTTAGAGCACTTTAGCTATTCTTTTAGGATACGTATGCTAGTGACAAATTAGTTTTCTTTCAACTTAGATTTCCCCTTGATTCCTGAAGGATAATTTCATTTGGTATACAATTCTAGTTTGACAGTTCTTTTCTTTCAGTACTTCGAAAGTATTGTGCCACTTTTTTCTTGCCTCCCTGGTTTCTGAAAACAAATCTGCTGTCATTTTTCTCTGGCTACTTTCAAGAGTTTTTTCTTTGTCTTCAGTTTTCAGAAATTGAATATCACCTGTCTGTGAGTGTGTTTTTTTGGGTTTGTACAGACTCTTGAATCTGTAAATGGAAGTTTTTAGCCATTATTTTCTTTGAGTACTTTTTCAGCCTCTTTTTCCTACTAGGACTCTGATGGCATAAATTCTAAAACCTGTTGTTCTACAGGTCTCTCGTGCTCTCTTCCTTTTGTTTTTTTTTTTCCGCCTATTTTTTGTTTGTTGTTCAGATTGGGTAATGTTTATTGTTCTGTCTTCCATTTCACTGATATTTTTCTTTGGTCCACTCCATTCTCCTGTTGAGCCTATCCACTGAGCTTTTTAATTCTATTATTGTATTTTTCAGTTCCAATTTTTTTTTTTTTAAAAGGTTTTATTTTTTCCTTTTTCTCCCCAAAGCCCCCAAGTACATAGTTGTATATTCTTCGTTGTGGGTCCTTCTAGTTGTAGCATGTGGGATGCCGCCTCAGCATGGCTTGATGAGCAGTGCCATGTCCGTGCCCAGGACCCGAACCAACAAAACACTGGGCCGCCTGCAGCGGAGCGCACAGACCTAACCACTCGGCCACGGGGCCAGCCCCCAGTTCCAAATTTTTATTTTGGTTTTTCTTTATATTTTCTGTTTCTTTGCTGAGACTTTTTATTATTTTTTGCTGATGCTTTCTCTTTTGTCATTGGTTTCAGGCATGTCTTTAATTGTTCAGCAAAGTAATTTTATGATGATTTTTAAAAAGTCTTTGTCAGAGAATTCTAACATTTCTGTTATCTTGGTGGTGACATCTGTTGTCTTTTTTTCATTCAGTTTGAGGACTTACTGGTTCTTTGTATGGCAGATGATTTTCATTTGAAACTTGGATAATTTTGTATTGTGAGATTCTGGATTTATTTATTAAGTAATAAATGTTGTTTACTTATACTTATAAATTACGATTTTATAAATATAAGCTATAGCATTTATTTACATATAAGTAAACATAATATAAAATTATTATAAATATTTGTTTATGTACTTAAACCTTTTCTGTTAGCTGGCTTTTTTAGATACCACTCTGGCATGTGAGGGGGAAGGGACACTCTCTTCTTACTGCCAGGTGGAGTCAGAAGTCCAGCTTCCCTCTCTGACCTCTGTTGATAGCAGAGGAGTTTGGAGGGAGGGGAGTGCCTTGTTATTGCTGGTCATGGATTGAAGTCCAGGTTTTCCATGTGATCACCACTGATGCCACTGTGGCCTCGTTATTGCTGAGTGATGGTGAATGTCCTAACTCTGTATAGGCTCTTCTGTTATAATGTATGGAGGAGGTAGGGCTCTATACTGCTGGACAGGGATGAAAATCCTGTCTCCCTACTTGGCCTTCTTTGATCCTACCCTGATGGGGATATTAGAGTACTTTGTTGTAGCTTGGCAAAGTTGGAAGTCTAGGTTTCCCACTTGGCTTTGTTGATGTGGGTGGAGGTAGGGCCCCAGTTTTTTATGTGGTGTTTGGCTAGAGAAGAGTGGTTACTGTCTAAAAACTTTGTCTTGTTGGCTTCCTCTTTCCTGGAAGAACAGGCGTTTTTGGGGAGTTTTTGGGGCCCACTGGTTCTTTTGGGTTTCTGGCTTTTTCACCTTCAAGTCTGGGAGATATGAGGCAAAAAGAAAACATAGAATATTCAGTTGCATAGAATATTGATTTTATTATGGTCTTATATCCGACAGCAGTTGACTCTCTAAAACATATAACTCCAGGAAAGGTAGGAAATATATACAAGGTGAAGTGGCAGACGAACAGGAATGTGTATTACAAAAAAAAAAATCTATTTGTAAGATATTCTTTTGTTAAATTAAAAGATGAAAATAATTTAAATATATAGTTCTTATGTGTCTTTAGCTTTCTTTTTTACTTTCTCTAAATTTTATATCCTGTTTGCACAGCCTTATTTAGTTTGTGAATGAATATTCTTCGAGCTCTTCATTTTATTGTAAATTTGGTTAAATGTTCTCATTCATATTTGGCCCCTTGGAATAAAGTTGACAGAGTATGTTGACAGTTGTAATAGTGAGTTTTCTACTTGATTGATCTGAAATAACATCTTAGTATATTATTCTATGTGCCTTACTATTGAAATTGATTTCAGAGTCCCTCAAGAATAAGTTGATACACAAAAGAAAAAAGTTGAGTTCAGGAAGGAAATAAAAGTCAAACAAACTAAATTTTGTCTAAATGTAAAAATTTGTTACATTTTTTTAAAAACTGCTTTTAAAGGCATTACTTTCAGTGGGAAGCTGGTGATATTCCAGAAATATTAAATAAAATGTCCCATTATAGACTTTTTTTTTCAAGCTTTCAGGCATTCTAATGGAATATTTTCTTAAGCTATAGATAATAAATAGGGTTATTTTCTTTGGTAACAATTAGTCATAGTGTTAGAATTGGGTGGGACTTTAGAGGCAATTAATCAGACCATTATATAAATGAGTAAACTAGTTCCCAAAAGGTGAAACTACTACTCTTACTAATATGGTAGTTAAGAGCTTAAAACTTTGTTTAAACCTGTTATCATTTAATTATCTGTACAACCTTGAATAATTTCTCACTTCTTGGAGCCTGAGTTTTTTCATCTCTAAATCGGAGATAACTTTGTTATATACTATGAGGATTTAATTATATGATTTTTAAATTGTTTAGTGCAGTTCTTTGCATTATCATCATTGCTTAAAAAATGATTTCTGTTCTTCTTCCTTGCTTTCTTACTTTTTTCGTGTGTCTCTTTCCTCAAATTCCCCCTCCCTAGGACGGTTCCCCAGCCAACTTACGTAAAACAATGATACTTCTACTTCCACCCTCACAGTTTTATACCTCCTGCTTTGTTTTGGGTTTGTTTATAATTCGTATCGTAGAATAGGGTTAGCCTGCTTTTGTACCTGATATTTCCAAGATTAGAGCCTCTTTAATGTTCCCCAGACAGATGAACTCTCTGTGCTACATTCCCAAGACTGGTATTTTATGCCATTTCGTGTCCTAATTCAATAATTAACACTCCTCATTTTCCAGCTTCTGGAATTTTGTTGTAATTTCTTTTGCTGATGGTCCTGTATTGTTCATTGCTGTGAGTTTCTACCTTGTTACTTTTGTGTCATTTCATTGAGTCTTGGAAGGGAGAAAATATAACTTTGTGCGTTCGGGCAATGATCTTGAACCAGAAATTCTGTAATGTAGACATAAATGAAAAAAAATGAAGAGAAGAAAAAAATGATCGTAAAACTTTTCCTTAATGTCAACTACTAATATGTATTTATTTACTCTTTTCCCCCCGGATTTTAAAAAGTAGTAAGTAAATGCACATTTAAAAAAGCATAATGATGAACATAATTTTAAGAGTAAATTGATATTTCAGACATTATTAAATTTATGGTCTTTGAAAAATTTGAACCTGTATAGAATGAAATAGAGCAAAAAAGTGAAGTCTTTTATTTCTTCTTCTCCAGTCTTCACTTTTTGAGGTCAAAAATGTTATTATTATGTTGCATGTTCTTTTAGACCTTTTGCTGTGCATTTATTCACATACACACAGGCTTTTAAAAAACTAGGTCATCCCATATGTGTTTTGTGATTTGCTTTCCCTTTTTTTTTTACTTATCTATATTAGATTTCTTTAAAAAATAATTTTCATTTTGAAATAATTCACAGGACCTAATCCACATCACCTGAGTCTCCTAGAATTATTCTATTCTCCAAGGAGATTTAAGCATTGAGATAAGCATGGGACTGGGTTTGACTTTCATGGGCATTTAAGAGTAAAGCAGGCTTCCATGGGGACCTATTTTTTCCTGTATTGGAAGAAACACAGAGAATGAATAAAATTCCTCCTAACATGATGAGCCAAACGATAAATCAGAGAATAAAACTAAAGCCTACAATTTCTATTCCACCAATTGGCAAAAAAAAATCATATATATATATATATATAGCATTTCTATAGCAAACATATCAACATAAGTACTTTTTTAAAACACATGCATATTTGGAAATTTGATGCATAATAGGAAGACAGCATTTCAAAACAGTAATGAAAGATTAGGCCCCAAAAAAGTGATATTAGATCCTGATCTCAAACTGTAAGAAAGTTAAATTTGAAGTGAATTAAAGAGCTAATGGTTTCTTTAAGAAATCATAGGGACCGGCCCTGTGGCTAAGTGGTTAAGTTCGCGTGCTCCGCTTCAGCAGCCCGAAGTTTCACTAGTTCGGATCCTGGGCGAGGACATGGCACATGCTGAGGTGGCATCCCACATGGCACAGCCAGAGGGACCTACAACTAGAATATGCAGCTATGTACTGGGGGGCTTTGGGGAGAAGAAGAGGAAAGAAAGAAAAATCGTAAAAGTGCTAGGAGATAGATTAATTTTATATTCTCACGTTAGAAATATTCTTCTTAGGCCACAAAACACAGATTTGATTTAATAAACAAAAATTTTTGAATGCTGATGAAAGATACTAGATAAGAAAAGGGACATGTTAGGAATAAATATTTGTAGTAAAACTAATAACGAAATAATATTCATTTTATTTAAAGAGCTCCTACAAATAAGGGAAATTCCCAAAAACAGGTATTTATCTGTAAAATTTAGAATATTTCACAGTTTAGAAAATTTTATAGATAAAAGATATAAACAATTTGTGCAAAAAGTGAAAATTGCCAGTAAGCATCTGAAAGATAATCAAATTCAGTCATAGTGAAATGAAAATCTAGATGATGAGATGCTGCTTTTCACCAATGAGATTGCCCCCTTTCTCCAAAAAATAGACTGTAATATCCAGAATCTGAGCAAAGATGGCAAAAGTTGTACTCTGAAAACCAGTGCACATATTCACCTTTGATAGAGGGCAGTTTGGCCGTGATAACTAACAACTGGATAGCTTAGTTATTATGTTCTAGGCACGTTACACGTGTTAACTCATTTAATCCTCATAAGCATGCTCTGATGGGGAAAGTGAGACACCAAGAGGTCAAATTACTTACCTCTCAATAACTTATGTAAGGTATATATATCCTTGATTCAGCACACACGCTGTTGAACAAAGATAAAATGTATAAGAATATTCGCTGTAATACTGAAAAATTAGAAACAACTTTGTGTCTATCAATAGAGAAATGGTTAAATATTTCACTGTGTATCCAGTTAAAATAATTAGATAGCAATATATGTTCCAACCTAGAAAGAAATTCAAGTAAATTTCAAGGTTAAGACAACAAATTGAACACTCTCTTCTAATTTTGTTCCTTTCTGAGATCTCACTAACTCAGGAAAAAAAATTAAAAAAGAAAAACAACCTATGATGACAAGAACAAAAGGAAAAAAAGAGTATACTTTTGGGAGCTGTAAGTCAGAAGAGTAAGTAAGAAATTTTCTTAGCAGGTCCCCAAGAGCTGAATCCTAAACCAGCAACAGAGGAATTCAGGAACAAGCTGTCAATTTATATTATTAAACATTCTCAAAAAGGCTCCAGAACCGGTAGGCCCAGGCTTGCCAGGTTTCTCCATGGTATAGTAACTATTTTTCTCCTTTCTATATTCTATTCTTTGGATGCAAGTCAGCTGGGGAGGATTAAACTCCTGGAAGAGGAAGTATCTGAATTTAAAATTTGGAATTTTTCTTTAAGATATATTTGTCCCTTCTCTCCCATTTATTTTTTCAATCACTTATTTATATCACTATGGGCTCATGTATGTACATACTTACTTTTTAAATTAAACTTCAGACTTTATATTAGAACTTCACCAGTTTTTCCATAATGTTCTCCTTCTGTTCCTAGTTCCTATTTAGGATACCACGTTACATTTAGTTGTAATGTCTTCTTAATCTTCTCTGATCTGTCACAGTTTCTCTCTCTTTTCTTGTTTTTCATAACCTTAACAGTTTGTTTTTTTGTGTGTGAGAAATATTGACCCTGAGCTAACATCTGTTGCCAATCTTCCTCTTTTTTGCTTGAGGAAGATTGTCCCTGAGCTAACATCCACGCCAGTCTTCCTCTGTTTTGTATGTGGGATGCTGCCACAGCATGGCTTGATGAGCAAGTGGTGTATAGGTCTGTGCCCAGGATCTGAAACTGAGAACCCCGGGCCATCAAAGCAGAGGGTGTGAACCTAACCACTACACCACTGGGCCAGCCCCCACCTTAACAGTTTTGAGGAGGACTGATTAGGCATTTTATAGAATGTCTCTCAAATTGGATTTATCTGATGTTTTCTTGTGATTAGATTGAGGCTATACTTTCTGCAAAGAATACTACAGAGGTGAAAGTGCTCTTATTGTATCAGGATACATGATAGTCAAAAGACATCACTGGTGACATTAACCTTGATCCCTTGGTTGAGATATGTTTGCCAGGTTTTTCCACTAAAAGACTATTATTTTTCCCTCCCATATTCTGTTTTTTGGAAGCAAGTCACTTAAGTCCAGTCTAAACTCAAAATGGGGCTGGAGGTACTGAGTTCGACATCCTGGAGGGGAAAATACCTACATATATTATTTGTAATTCTTTTATAAGAAAGACTCATCTCCCTCATTTATTTAATCACTTATTTATATCATTATGGACTTTGTATATTTATTTTATCTTTTAGGTTTTGGTCCAATAATAATTTATTGCTCAGGTTATTCCAGTTTTGGCCATTGGAAACTCTTTCAGGTTGCCTGTGACACTTTGTGCCCCCTACCACATCCTTTTATTTTTTGAGCACTTCCTTACTTTTGGATACTAAGATATTCCATGCTTATCTTATATTTTCCCTACCTTAGCCCTAGAATCAGCCATTTCTCCAAAGAACTCTGGTTCCTTTTGTTGAATAAGGGTATTTAGAAATCAAGATCTGGGTGCTAGGAATGCTTATTAGTGCTGGGATGTCATTGCTCCTAGACCCTCTCAGAGGACAGAGCTAGGTTATGTAGGTATGTATAATATCCTGTGTATACATACCTATAGTTTTGTCTGTGTCTATTCATCAGTATCTGTATTAAGCTAAACAGGAGTTCATACTGATGTTTCCAACTCTAATCCAGTACAGCAGAGTTCATTTTAGCCTTTTTACCTTGCATATCTTTCCTTCTTTCTCCAAAGGTGAGATACGTCCCACCATCTACTGTCCGTTGACTTATTGGTTCAGCTCCCGGTAGACAAGTAAAGCAGGTTCAGGACTGTTAACTCCTACTCCCCTGTATTAGTGTCCTAGGGATGCCATAGCAAATTACCGCAAACTGGGTGGCTTAAAACAATAGAACTATATTTTCTCACAGGTCTGGAGAGTGCAAGTCCAAAATCAAGGTGTCAACAGGGTCATGCTCCCTTTAAAGTCTCTAGGGAAGAACTTTTCTTCTTTGCCTCCTTTAGCTTCTGGTGGTTACCGGAAGTCCTTGGCATTCCTTGGTTTATGATGTCATAGTTCTCATCTTTGCCTCCTTCCCTTGGCTGCCTTCGCTGGGTTTCTGCTGTATCTTCAGGTCTCTCTCTCACCTTATAATATCACTGGTCCTTGGTTTTAGGGCCCACCCTAATCCAGAATGACCTCATCTTAACTTGATTACATCTGCAAAGACCCTAATTCCAAATAAGATCCCATTCATAGGTACCAGGAGTTAAGATTTTCATGTGTCTTTATGGGGGACAGAATTCAATCCACAACACTGCGATAGACTATGGAGTTAAACAGAAAGGCATAAAATAATTGCTGGAGAGTAATTTGAACTAAGTTGAGTTGGAAATAAAGCAGGAGAACTGCTTTGTTGTTTTTTTTCATAAATGTATTGTTAGCTATTTGGTCTCATCAGTGAACTTTAAAAATTAACTTTTTTTGTGGAGAGAATGATATGGGAAGATAACAAATCTGAGGATTTAAAAGTTGTAGAGTGTTTGCTCTGGGATTTTCTGCTCAAAAGTTTACGTGAGATCCAGAGACAAATTCTTTAGCTTTTCAGAGCTTTGGCTTAAAAACACAGTGATCTTTTTATATGCAGTTACTTCAACCTCCATAGCGTATTATGGTATTAATCTGGGTGCAGCTGGGGATTTTCCGTCCTTATTTTGGCCAAAGAGAGCTTTTACCTCCCATACCCGCCCCACCCCCGCCCCCAAACCAGGCCCTACAATGTCAGGGCTGGGGTGCTGCCTTTTCGTGATGACTGGCTGAAGAACTGAAAATATCTCATTGAGAATATGGCTGTAAGAGTATCTTTTTTTCATAATCTCCAGAAACTCTTTGATACAGCTGTGTATTATTATATAGTTACTTATCTTTTCTATTTAGAACACTGCCTTTTCTCTTTATTCTTTGAATTAATTTAAAACTAATTTATTTGTGTTAATAGTTGCAAATATCACTGCTTTTCTCACTGAATAATTCATCAGGTATTAAATACAAGTTTCTGTAATCTTTTGAGGTGAAGAACATGATTTCCACTTGAATTGGGCTGATGTGAAGATGTTAAATTTTTTGGCTTTCCATTAGTTCTTGGCGTTACCACCAAGTTGAACTCTGACAGTTTTTTATTAATACATGAAACAGTGAGTGATTTTACACTATAGAAAATATTCTGATGGACAAAGAATCCATTGAGTTTAATGCATAATCATAGTAGATTGTGTTATTTAGAGGCTATTCTATATGGATAAAACAGTATCACAGTTTGAAGATTAATGGGCGCATAGGACAAGTGTTCTAGGAAAGGATAAGGAGTAGAAGGAATGGTGGATGAAAATAAAATGAAGGAGTAGGCCTCGGGAAGACTGACAACCAATAACAGAAACTTGGAACTTCTGTGGAAAATGTATCAGAATGGTGGTTTGAGTTGACTGGTGGTGGTAATGAATGATCTTGTTTGCATTTATTATTGAATAGAGAGGTGAAGAGTACTCCTGTTAAAAAAAAGTGGTTATTTAAAAATTTTATCTGAGGGGGCTGGCCCCGTGGCTGAGTGGTTAAGTTCGCGTGCTCCGCTGCAAGTGGCCCAGGGTTTTGTAGGTTCGAATCCTGGGCACGGACATGGCACTGTTCATCGAGCCATGCTGAGGTGGCATCCCACATGCCACAACTAGAAGGACCCACAACTAAGAATATACAACTGTGTGCCTGGGAGCTTTGGGGAGAAAAAGGAAAAAAAAATCCTTAAAAAAAAAAAGTTAGTTAAAAAAAATTTTTATCTGAATATAGGAAATAGTTTAGCAGGCATATTAAAGACTATTTATTTAGAAGGAAAGCTTGATGTGTTGGCTGATGTAATACTTGATTCCAAGTAGTGCGTATTTTCCTTCCTGAAGTCTTCATGATTTCCTCTTTGTGGGAGTTGTTCATTTGTTCTTTACCTTCTCTGCTCTTTGGTAAGTGTCCTGAGTCTTCTAATTTATAGTCTTTGTTTTTCATTGTGGGATTTGCTTCATGGCATATTTGTTTAATGTAAAAGGCTCAGAGAAATAACCATTGTGGAGGATTACTAAATATTGAAAATAGCCTTCATTAGAACATAAATGTTTGATATTTATAACAATGTCAGCTTTCAAACATGTTCTATATTAGATTATTTCATATCAGTGTCACATAGCTGTGTCTTACATACTTTGGTCTTTGATTATATAAATCTTTTTGTCATCCAATAACCATAGGTCTATACAATGTTTATTTTTCTCATTTATAAGATTAAACAAATCTATCTTTACTAAATTCCAAACATTATAGAATAACTTAAAAAGTGTTCATCTCCTTTGTACTACAACCCCTAGCTGAGAATTACCATGGCATGTAATTTTATTAATTTCTAAATAATATTCGTGAAATTTGGACCAGTGTTACTAAATGTGGTTTGAGTTCGTTTTAGAGTATTTATCTACAGAATAATTTACTTAGCTGCCTTTATTACTGTTGCTGTTTGTCTTGCAGCTGGGTATTACTTCTTGATTTACAAGGCTGCGGCATGAAGTGCTGCGTTATTCTGGTTTGTTGTGATAGTTTTTAGGTGAATCCATGTGTAAATGAATGTGCGAGGGCATTTTAATTCTTAAAAAACTGATTCTTGTGAAAACCTCAAGGTGCATATTAAGTAACTACATGATTTACTTAGTACAAGAGGTTGACTATTTAAAAAACTCCTGATTTAACTCTCCTTACAAGTCACTTACTATACTTGGTACAATGTACATACTTAGATCTGTAAATTACTGTCAATTCCTTTCTGGAGATATTTGAGGTAGTTCGTGGAAAACAATAGCATAGAGCTGTGTGGTTCAGTATCGTAGCCACCAGCAGCATGTGGCTATTCAGTGCTTGAACTGTGCCTCGTCCAAATGGAGATGTAGAATGCACACTGGATTTCGAATACTTTGTATGAAAAAAGAAATGTAAAATATCAGTACTTTTTAATATTTATTACATGATAATATCTTGCATATAGTGGGTTAAATAAAAGTCATTATTAAATGAATTTTATCTTTTCATTTTTACTTTTGATGTAGTTACTACATACCTTAAAATTGAAAATGTAACTTGCATTATATTTCTCTTGGACATACTGGTATTGATATTGTATAATTTGTAAAGGGTTTACTTTCAGAGATTTTATGAGTATTGTGTGTTCTTATATATTTCCCAGTGGAAACAATATTGGCTTCTCAAAATAGCTCCTGTCAGCCCACTTAATATTTAATATAATAGAAATTTATATCAATAGCATTATGTATATGATAAATTATATTCTGCTGTCAGTCTGGGGATGTCAAGAGCACACCCCTTTTATCATTTTAACAGTGCTAAGAGCTTCCAGTGGGATTGCCTTGGTTCCCCTGCCAAAGAGAAAGTTAAGGTGGATATGGTAGGACATTAAGGTGTGGGGAGATTTTAGATTGGAGAATTCCTGAAATTCCCAGGAGTTCTGGTGCTCAGTTGGGGAATGGCCCTCAGTAGTTAGGAGGGAAGGGGGAACATTCCTCCAAAGTCTCAGAGCGTAGTTTGCTGCTAGGCCAGTAGGTACCCACGTGAAGGCGAAAGGTGGAAGAGTATGATTGCACCAGTCTTTCGTATGTGAAGTTTGGCTGGGAATTGAGTGTTTAAGGGGAAAGCGCCTTTCTTGCTACAAGCTCTTAAAGTTTGGTCACTCTTTGCAAATGATAACATTGCTTATGTTATATAACTCAGATATTTAACTGTAATAGTAAATTTTAAGTTCTTATTTACCTTGGTGATTATTTCTCTTTGTTTACAAGACAATTATGGTTGAATAGGTGTACCTCTATATACTAAACGTAAATTTAATTTTGGGTGTATAGATCAAAGTACATGGAATAATTTTTATTTAAATTGCATGATACCTTACTTTAAGTAAACAGTACATCTCTGAAGTAAGTTGTCAGACCTAAAACAAACTGGATGGTACCATCTAGTCAGACTCCACAACACCCCCCCACACCCCCCTACAGCCCGCCCTTTCACCCTTTAGTATTGTTTGGTTATAACTGATGTTCCAAGTGATGCTCATTGGCTACTGCTAAATACCCTAAAGTATCCTGTGAATCATCTGAAAAGTAACTTGCATTCTTCTGTATTTTACTGTTGTGTTTTAATTCTCTAAAAACTTAAAATCCACACAAGAATATAGAGTTACTGAGTACAGAATATAAGTGCTCTATGAATTGCAAATATCCAGTTTTATAAATGACTATTTCATATATATAGAGAGAGAGGTACCTTCCCTTTGTTCATTCATTTATTTGCTTACTAAATATTTATTGGATATTTACTGTGTTTCAAGAACTGCAGAATTACAGAGATCAAAGTGGAAGTGAGGGCTGCATCAGAGTCTCAGTAGGGAAGGGACGCTGACACAGAAGAATATGCTCAAATTACCATTGAATGATTTGCTTTTAGCTACGGTATTTTGAGGTTTCAAATAATGCTAACTAAGGGTGTGAGATTTTTATATTTAACAAGAAGTTGAGACACTAATTTAAGATTAGCGGCCCTACTTTTTAGCTGTGGTAATTTGTTCATGGGGTGTCAAATTCCAGTTTGGTAAGAAATAGATCTATGACATGAGGATAGATGCATCGGAAGACTACTAAATTGTAACATAAGCCACACCAGCAGATCGCTAGCTTCTTCCTAGGTTTTCTTTGCTGAGACCTGGAGGCCATGTGAATAGCTGCCATTGCCCCAGAAGTGAGTCTGAGAGGGCGTTGTTTCTGAAGCATGCAGCTCTCACTGTGTCGTGCATGACCTACATGTGGTGCCAGCGTTGAGTGATTAAGGGAGAAGCAAGGGGAAGCTGGGAGTATAGGACCCCAGGCAAGAAAGAACTTAGTTGTTGCTTAGGCGTGGCTCTGAAGCAGGGCAGTCTTCCTCTCCCAGATCATGTGGCACATGAGAGGCAGGCTCAAAGGCAGTTATTTTATCTTTTTAAATCTGAATTCTTAAATGTAGCTTCTAACAGTCCATTTGGGGCTAATTTTCAAGCATATTTATATATTTTACTAAAAAAAGGTAGAGATAGAGTTAAATAATTTTCTTATTTGATAATTCCCATCTGCTAATTTATATTGGAGATAATTTTCTTATCTAATTAACCTCATTTATTTCAAATAGGAGGGACTGATAAAAATGGACTTCAGTTTAATCATATTTTCATTAGTTAGTTGTTTTTACTAAGAAATCATCGGGCTGTTGAATAATGTAAATTTTGAGGTCATCCTGTGAATATATAAGAAAGGAAGAAAAATTAGAAGAGTTACGTGCATTGTCTTTATCTCATGAAGACCCTGAGGCCTTGTAAGGTCAGGACTTGCTCAATCATTTATTTATTAATGTTTATTGAGTGTCTGCTAAGTGTCAGGTACTGTACCAGAGGTTAGAATTACATATTTCCCTGTTCATTGAATACATAAAGTCTGGTGGCGAAGACATACAGGAATAGTTATCATAAAATATGATGAGCAGTGTGATACCCGAAGTACACAGGGTAGAGGACATCCCCAGATCCACTGGGTTAGGGGAAGGACCCCCTAAAAAGTGATGTGTCAGCTGAGGCCCAAAAAGGTGAGTAGGAACCAGCAGGGCAAAAGCAAGGAGGAGAGTAGTCTAGTCTAAGAGGACAGCATGGTCAAAGCCTGGGCAGTGAAAGAACCCTCTGAGGGTGGCTCAGAGGAGAGCAAAACTGGAGGCCAGGTGACCATTTGCGTTGCAGGTAGGAGCCCATGGTGGCTTGTTCATAAAAAGAGACAGTGGGAAAGGAGAAAATAAGATGATTCAGAAGATATTTAGGAGATGAAAACCATACATTCTTTCTTTTTAAACAGCTTTATTGAAATGTAATTCGCATACCTTACAGTTTACCCATTTAAAGTATACAGTGCAGTGGATTTTAGTATACATATTCAGAGTTGTATATCTCTTGCCGGTATCAATTTTAGGACATTTTCATTACCCCAAAAAGAAACCCCACTCCCCTTAGCCATCATCCCCTAACACCCCTACTCGCCCAGTCCTAGGCAACCGCTAGTTTTGGAGGACATATAAAAATTTCCCAGGGCTTTCTTTTCTTTGCTCGTGTGTTTTATTACAGTGATTAGGTTTTATTGGTTTACTTTGCCAAATGGTTTCTTTAAAACACCTCATTTTAATGTAAAATATTCTCTTGTTCTTACTTAGTTTTTTCTTTTTTTCCCCCTTTTTTAACAGAAAATTTCAAACATACCAAAGTAGAAAGAAGGTGAAAGGGTGAGCCCCCATATACACAACTCAAATTTATACAATTATAAATGATAACAGATGGCAGTCTTATTTAGCTATTTCTTCTCTGCTCACCTCTACACCCTTGGTAATATTTTTAAGCTAATTGAGAGCTCCCTCTTAACCTTTAATTATAATAATAATTATTGAGCATTTACTGTGTACAAGGCATCATGATAAAAGGCTTACATGATTGTTTCAGTTAATTCAAAAATTACGTTA